GGTTGGATGGATGGATGGGTAGATGGATGGATGGACAGATGGATGCAAGGGTGGGTGGATGGGTGGATGGATGGGTGAGTGGATGGGTGGATGGATGGATGGGAAGATGGATGAATGGACAGATGGATGCAAGGGTGGGTGGATGGGTGAGATAGGTGGGATGGGAATAGTGGAAAGATTGTTTGAAAATTGGGGTCAGGTGTTAGATGAATGGCTGAAGCAATAGATGGGGGATCGGAAGGATGGATGGAATTCAGAGTAGATGGGTGGGAGTTACAGAGGATGAATGTGACATGAGGTTGATTTTTGGCATCCCATTTATTCTTTATGCTACTTTATCATTATTTTTTGAACAATCTACTGTAAAGGCATTGAGACCTCTGTTTAAATGCAATGAATAGGAAGGATGATGGAACAAATACAAGGATAGGATAAGTTGAATGGGATGGAAGGGATGGAAGGGTCGAATGGGATGGAATAAGTGGATGGATAAATTATACAAATTATGTAAATAAAATGAAATGAATCTCTTTGCCAAATTCATCACCTTTAATTGTTTCTTGAATCGAACTTTGTTCCACGCTGCCTTACACAGAGAAATAAGCTGAAAAACATCAACATTTTATAAGACAGTTCTGCGGGTATAGACCCATGCAAATTACATGACGTCAAAGCAGCTCGATCTGGGGGACAAAACAAAAAAATTCCAATCCCCTGAGAATTGGAACCTATTGCTTTGTCCCTCAGATTGAGCTGCATTTCAAAGTGGTGCAGTTTCACATGGTTGGTAAAAAATACAAAAGGTTACCTTTTGATCATAAAGCCCATCAGAAACAGCTTCAGCATATTGCCGTCTGGAGAGAGAAATAAATGAGATGATTGGCACCCAAAAAACAATGTTTACTACCCAAATATGAGGTAAGGTTGAGGTTAGGGTTAGGTTGGGGGGGGGGGGGGGGGGGGGGGGGGTGCAGTTGGGTTTTTGCAATTTGTAAGCAAAAACTTATATGACCCCTTCCCAACCTGAATTTTGTTTTTTGTTTACATGGCCCACTATTAAAACAGGATAATGTTTTAAAAATTTCTTATACACTTCCTATTTAGCTTATTATTTTTGGGGTTAGCCACCCTTAATTGCCATATTTTAAGATGTGGTACCTTCTTAAATCTGACCAGCCTGCTCATGCTCGTAAAAAGTAAAAGCTCCCTTGGTCCAAGGGTGTGGATTGAAGAATACTAGTGTAACTAGCTATTCCTGTGGAATGCATAATACCTGATGATGACAGAAGCTGACTTAAGGTGTCCCCTTTGAACCAGGCTCATAGCCAGGAACAGGTTGCACTGTGCTGTGAGGATTGGGTTCTTTAACTTGGATGCAATCACATACTGCTGTTTGGAAATGTCACCAGCTTTCTTAGACTGCAAAACCAAAATATCACAAGACACCTCCTTAGTCTTATGAATAAAGTTTTCCTATTTCAAATCATGTGCAATTCTCTTAACAAAAAGTATGATGTTTTGGTTTTCATAAACAACCATTGTATAGTCCAAGAAATTAGCCATACCCCTCCCCCTCCCCTCCCCCCCACAGAGGAATTTGGAATTTCTGAGGGGTGGGGGTAGGGGGTCCAAGAAACAACAAAAAGTACAGACATTATTGCATGGAAGAAAATTGAAATTTCTGGGAATGGGGGGAAGAGAGGTGGGTTTTAAAAAAATTCCTCTTTAGGGAATTTCTGGAAGAAAAATAATCTAGGTAATGACACAAATGGTATGAAATGGGAAAACTATAAATAATAGCCCATGCTAAAGATTGTTTATCCTTGCCATTAATTTATTGAACATAAAAAAGGTACATGGTCACAGACTATTTTGTCATCTTATGTACTGTAGGGTTAGGGTCTAAACCATTTACTCTTACATCTTATGTATGCTAATTAGAAATAAGGGGCCCTTCCCCCCTCCCCTCCCCATTTGGGTCGCTACGCAGGCTAAAGGAGTCTATTGATTTACTTACCGAAATAACACAATTTTCTCCCAGTGAAGAATAAGCACCTCCAAGTGTTGAGAGCCACGACATAATATCATTCAAGTGTGCAAATTCTACCAACAACGGCCAAAGTTTTTCTGACCTGAAATATGGAGCAGAGGAAAATAATTTGTGATTAACTACATGAGACTACCAACAAGTAGAAGGGTGGTGCAGCCTTATTGCACTTGCCTCTCACCTCTGGGGTCTGGAATACGTTGTAGGCATCACATTTTAGTAGAGTTAGGTCCCTCCATTGATTTGAGGGTTTTTCACTGAATTCTCTTCTCTCAAAACTTAATGAGCTAAATTTCATCCGTTCAATCTGTGAGTAAGCTATGCCCTGATACATGTAGATCGACCCAGAAGTTGTTTCAGGTTATTGATAAATTTGAAGGTTACATAATTTGCTAAAGAGTTAATAATATATAATAGTGTTAAAGCTTTGCTAAGCATGGGAAATCTCTAGCAACGATTTTCAATATTCTGCAAACTTGGTAGTTTCAGGGTAATCCACAATTGGCAGATCGAAGCCTGGGAGTGGATTAACAAACAATGAATGGTGAGATAAAACAAAGAACGCAGCTCACATGTAGAACAATACACATTGTTCATCATAATCAATGCTTTCTTTGTTTTTGTTATTTTGTCCAATCCCAAGCTTCGTTCTACCAGTGGACACCGACCCTATTACAAGCTGCATGGTGAAATTTGGTTTTTCCCTGCCGTCAATCAAAAATAATCAGTAGGTTTTATGTTTTTGACTGGTGTAAGTAAAAAAACAATTTTCACAACAAGTCGTTGAAAATGTCTGAGTTCACAGAATATCAAAAAAACAAAAAAAGACATGAGGCTGCTGTCCAGCCTTTCTAAACTTTAACYAAGTCTAAAACTTCAATTAGAAACATTTATAAATTCATTCATGGTGACTTACCATCGTATATCAGCAGTCATATTTAGAAACTTTAAAGGCATAACATGTATATAAGCGTTTGTCTTCAAACAGGTACATGTATGGACTGTATTTGCATTAACATTTAGTATGTGAAGGCTTAAATAATTATTATATACAATTTTGCTGCCTGATGTATCTAGAAAATACAAAGTGAAATGATCATTAGGGTTTTGACTGAATGTGTTAATAGGATATCATACTAATATGAGCTTCATTTTTTTCGTTAAAATAAGTAAATTATAAAGTGATTTTACTTTTACTTGGAAAGCCTTCCTTACCGACGATTTTTTCTTCAACTTTCCACTGTTTATAAAGCCATATCGTAAAATTCATTAAAAAAAAYTTGGATTGGTTGAAGAGCTTCCATAAGATGGCTGCTAAGACTGGATCAACAAACAGAGAGATATCAACCGAGATTGTGTGGTTGTTATAACCACGCTTCTTTGGCAGATTATTGGCTGATTCTCTCACACAACATTTTATAGACCTATTACGAACTTCTGTCCCTCTAATCGTGGTTATTAGACGCATAGATTGTGCCATAATTACAGAGAAAAAAAATCTTACATATTCTTCAAATGACATTCAGAATAGAAAACCGTCAGGCGTTATTTACTATTTTCACATGGAGAATGGGTACGAACTAAAATGTATAACCTTCAAAAAATACTTCACAAGGACTTTACAAGAAAATTGCTTTAATTTATGTGCTAAAGTCGTCAGAAAGCACTATTTTCTAGTTTCAATCGAACGAGGCGGAAATTCGAGAGGAATTGAATACTTAATCTTATAAAGGAATCAATAAAAAACGTTTATTCCAGAAGATCTACACAAGTGTCAGGATGGCCGAGCGGTCTAAGGCGCCAGACTCAAGGTTATTCCTTCCCAAGTTGCTTGGGAGCGGGCGTTCTGGTCTCCGAATGGAGGCGTGGGTTCGAATCCCACTTCTGACACATCTTTTTTTCCTAAATTTTTTCTCTATTGACGGATATGTATAAACATTCTATGATGTTTTCTTTCTTTTTATAATCATATTCTTTGTTGTTAACAATATTTCTATTTTTTTTTTAATTTTCATATAATTTGTTAAAAAGTTATATAAATTATATTCTTATATATTGCATTTTTTTACACTAATCAGTTTATATGCTATCTCTATTTTTTTTTTTCTGGATTTACTCTTTTTGTCTATAAAATATTTTCTTTAATAATAAATTTTTCTCTTTTCTTGTTTTTCCTGGCCTTCTTTTTATATCAAAATCTTTAAATTTAGGTTTAACGGGGGAAAGAAGAAAAAATTAAAGATATTATATCTATATCTATATCTTAAAAAAAAAAAAAAAAAAAAAAAAAAGAAAAGAGAAATCTTTTGTCGCTAAGTATTTCTTTAGCCAACTAAAACCCCTAAAACAAAGATCCCTATACCCCAACATATAAATTTTGCCATCATCAGCATTTGAATTTTCAATATTATTTTTCATTTTTTAAGCAGGAAGCTGATCGTCTTTTGCATTTTATCACGTTCCACTCAAAAGCAGCAAACTTCGCTTCCTTGACGTTCGAAAGTCAATGATGTAATAAATCATTCGGTAATAATATGCCAGGTATAAATGTAATATATGAAGAAGGTCATATACATTAACCCAATAATATTGGCTAAGTCGCCAAGGAAACCGGCTGGCAAATATAGGCTGAATGTCACGTGACCATTTCACTAGACATACACCTCTATTTTTGCTAAAAATTTTCAGCAATTCTCAAAATAAAAGTAGGCAAAGTAATTAAGAAGTTTCAGTCGCAAACAAGTTCCAAGCCAATGATTTTGATAGAGCTCTCGAGATAGAGCTATACGTTGCCGGTCACCGACTCACTCATATATGAAGGTCAGGGCACTTAGTTTTATCCGGCATGCTTGTTACTTAAAAGACTCACTGAGACAAAGATACCACCTGATGTGTCTCGGATCCAGTCACAATTTTGGAAACAAAGAAAATGAGGAAGATGAAAAATAAAGATACGATGGACAACTAAGCAAGACAAAGTGAAATTTAGAAGTGTTTTACCTGCAGCTTGCGGAGACAAAAAAAAATCTTTGTAATCAGACTTACTTATTATGAGAGTGCTCTAAAATAACGATTAATGTTTGCAAATCTATAATATACTCATTTTACTATTTGCTTTACTATGACACTAACAGTGTTTATGGGGCTCCTGTGTTTTGTTTTTTTTTTTTTTTGTTTTTTTTTAACACACGTGCCTTGTGCCCAGCGGCATCTGTCTGGTCCAATCAAAATGGGATATTCAATGGTGTCATAGTGACACGGCTGATACTAAAATATGATTGGAATTTTCTTCCTGTTTTCTAAGAAAGACCTTCAACAGACCTCAAGATCAAAAGAAAAGATAGCAAGCATTCGTTATACCTATTTTTTCACTCTCTAAATCAAGAAATATCATTTTTCTCAGCTATATACAGCAAACTCAATAATAATGAGTGTAAAAGTTATTTTTGAAAATCTATAAACGACGGCAAAAGAAGACTGTTTTTCATCAGCTATAAAACTACTCGATCAAGGAACTTGCGTGGTCAGGAGACGGTAAGACAAAAATATATAATTTATATTTTTATTGTTATATTCTGTTATCCTTTTTTTCGACGAAATACAGCGTACTGCGTACTGGCTGCGTGCATATTTATTGCTATACTGTGGATTGCATTCACTTTAAGATTTAATGTATATCATACTGAGTTTTATAAGCGAAAGCTGCCGCCCGGTCTTTTCATAGTTGGGAGTATCGAGTCATAGTGATACCTAATTATCCGTACGTGAAGAAAATATACTTATTCAGGCTTTTGCCAAAATAATGCTAATACGCTCTAATTTTAGAAATGAATCTTTAACTAGGAGTTTATATTGCTATTCTGTCAAGAATTCTGAAAGGGTGCTTAAATTTATGTTTATCTCTATATTTATTTATTTATTTTTCATTTTTTGGCGATGATACGGAAAAACTGCGTTGAAGTAGAAATGACTGCATGTCCGCCCTAATATTCTGACTCTTGTTGAAACGAAATAAAAGAATCAGCTGCAAAAACATGAGACTTTGCATGCACTGCACGTAAGGCGTCAATGCACTCGGATACTGATCAGGATCACTCACTAGTCTGGTCACGTGCTTTCGTGCTTTCAAAGTTGTTTTGTTCATTTTCACCAGTGAAATATCCACTACACTAATGTTTTTTTTCTTCTGCGCTTACCGATTTGGTCCGATGCCTACCCGTCAATTGGCTGTCAGAAATTACGCAACTATAATTTTCGTTCTTCACGTCGGCCTTTTAACGGAAGTCACACAATTTCGATTGTACTTAGACCCCATCTCTTCTGTTTATTCTAACGTGAGATATCATTAAGGTAGTGCAAACTATCAGAATCTTTTCAGAAACTCATATTCTATTTTGTTAACTCGCTTTTTCACTAGAACTGCAGGAGTCTAGGGGGTCACGCATTTTGGGTTCGGACACTGACGCCACAAAGGAAGTGTTTGAAATTTCTGGTACATTCGTCTGCCATATCCCCACCAACGCGCGCCCCTGCCCCATATATGAACATACAAATGCACTTCCATAAAATGTTTTAGTCTAAACATGAACTGATGATATATTTCGAGTTTTTAAGCGAGTCTCGGCTTGTTATCGTTAACGACACAAAATTCCACCAAACTGTAACGGACGAATAAGTGATTGCGAAAGAAAGCTTACATAGAGGGAATCAACCGGAACGTTCAGTGATCGTGCAAAATGAACATGTATAAGCTGCACGAACTGATTTCTTCGTTTAGACTTCCGTTTTCGCTGAACGGGTTTACCTCATGTGTTCGCTGTGAAATTCATAAAGAAGAAAAAGCCGCTGACCACAGACCAGGAAAAAAAATTATAAATGGCTCTGATAGAAAAGTTAAAGGTTTCGTGATACGTGCTCGTTACAGGGTTTACTAGTTATTGACTGGTAAACCAAGAAAAACGTACTAAGTCGGAATTAATGTTTTTCGAGGAAACCTATCTTAAATAGTTGACTAGTTTACTGCATTGTTCGATTCAGTCGTTGGAAGAAAGCAGTGTCATTCTCATAAATAATATGCTGAAATGGAATTCTTAACTGGTGGGAAAAAGAAAAAAAAGAAGGAAAAAAAAAAAAAGGTGGGAAATTAAAATTCTCGGAAACAAAGGATGAAAGAAAATGACAAAAAATGACACAAGAGTAATCTTGCTTAATTGTGCTTAATCATTTAGAGAAATAAGAAATGAAAAATGACCTTGTACTGTTCGGCTTTAGCGTATTAAATTAATACTTCCTCGTTACAGACAGCTAGATCCTGTTGGTAGGTGCTAGAACAATACAAGACAGGACTTGCAAAACGTTTGTACACTTGTATGAAAAAGGTACCGACGACCGATTAGGTTTGATTGACAGCAGCGAAAAGTCAAATTTCAGCTTGCAGCTCGCAGACACAGAGTTTGCATGTTTATGAAAACTGAAGTAACAAACTTGCAATAATTATAGACGTCAAACAATGATCACGTTCTCAGAGTAACATCAGAAGTGGTACCATTATATTGTGAAGAGCCTCGGAAGGAAAAGGAACACAATGGAATGATAGAATACTGAGCTTAGTAGTCTAAAATCTAAACATGTTTTTTCTTATACTCTTGTCCATATTACATTGCATGGGGTGTGGATGGGGGTACCCGATTAACAGTTAACTATACTACTGTTAAGTTAACTATGCTGTTAATTATTTTAAAAGTGCTGACCGTATAATKTTAACCAAAATAATGAATATCAGTTAACTGTTAACTACTAATTTTTAGGCCAATCGTTACCCCCATCCACACCCTCTTTCATTCCATTCCATTCCATACACCATCCTTCCTTCTTTCCTTCGATCCTTTTCTTCTATCCATTTTTTCTTTCGTCCATTCATTAGTTAATCGACGCGATATCTCTCATCCATTTCTCTGCCTCTCTGACGTTTTTCTTTCTTTCCTTTTCCCAGTTTATTATTTCATTTGTTCTTTTAAATCATAAGTATTTTCCTTCGCCAGTCTCTTTACTTATCTTAAGTTCGGTATATTAAGCCGTCTTTACTGAGATAATTGTTCATAAGGAATGCTTGCATAGAATATTCATAATATTGATCAGATTCACAAACAGTTTTTGTTGTACATCCTGGGTAGTCATGGATGCGCCCATGCAAAATATCATGATTTCCAACTTTGCGGGGTCAAGGTAACGTTAGAAATCTTTTTGTTCAATCATGTTTGTTTTTGACCAAATCTTTTTGTTCAATCAGGTTTGTTTTTGACCAACGTACGAAGCTTATGTACTACTTGCTTCCTGTAATTTGTATTAAAATTGTAAATAATTTACCATTCAATCTGCCTAGATTAGTTTTTACTATTTGCAACAAGTTGTTGGGTTTTTGTAAATTTATTTATTGTAATTGATAAAATAAAAACGTAAAGCGTAAAGTGACTGTATCGGTCAACTTACGAGTAGGCAAACGCATTAATTAGAGGTTTTGTAGGAGGGGGGTGGGGGTGGGGGTGGGGGTGGGGGGTGATCCCAACATGAATCTCAGTTAACGTAACTCCGTTAAAGACCTCTACCGCCTACGGCTTGCTACGGAACATCCTAAATACCGTATCTATATTAAGCTTCTAACCACTCCTATAAAAAATTGTAAAAAACGTGCGAGTTTATAAATCCTGCGCTAAATCAGGGTTTGGTTTTTTACATTTTTTAAACTGATGATGATTCACCTCAGCAAAAACCGGCGTCGAAATATAGGAGGTCTGTCTGCAGACATGATCACAAAGGGTTGCGGGAACTGTTGTGGTTTAATTTGGACAAAAAACACGATAGTGTTTTCATAAAGCAGACTTTGAATTATTAGTTTAGGAATGCCGACTTGTTTAACTCCGAGGTCAAACTATTGGATTATTTTTATTGATAGAGGCTTGGGACCATGCTATCAAATTATTGCAAATTATTATTGTCAATAGTTTACTTTCGTAAACCTCCGTGTTTCAGCTAAAATATACTTCCCCGAACTAAAGGAAACTGTAAATTCAGACTCCTGTAACGCGCAATAGCCGAAGATTTACGTTGGAGCCTAACGCTTTGTCGAGTGTTCGTGAAAAGTTCGGACGTCGAGTCACTGACTTCCTTGACGACGCATTTTGACGCATGCACTTTACTAGCAACTTCCAGTGATGTAATTCACTAAGGAGGGGGGTCGGGATCAAAAATGTCACGTTCAAAATATTACCCTATAAAGAACTCAATGTTCAAATATCCTTCAGAAATTTAAGGAATATTATCTAAGTACAAATGCACGGTTATTTTTTGTGTGAAAAAGTCTCATTTTAGGATCTTTTTCACTATAAAAAGTTGTTGTAACTAGCCCCCCTCCCTCCAATAAATTTTGTCGCAAGCGTGATAAAAGCAGCTATGACGTAAAGGGAAATTTTAGATATGTATATTATTGACCCCTTAAAATAAATATCGATGACATAAAGAAAGAACTTTAGTTATAGATAAGCTGTAACTTCCTGGTTGCGGACTATTAGTTTCAAGAAATGTAGGGATGAACAGCAAAGCATCGTATCTAACCGAAATCTTTTTTTCCTCGTCATCTAATTCTCAAAGATACAATTCAACATGGCGGATATTCGTGATATCGCCGTCGACCAAGACAAGAAAAAGGCCGTTTCTGATGCTATAGAGAGAATAAATCAGCTGTTTAATGTCCAAGTTTCTCTCAGTCCCACCGAAGCTGTTGGCTTTCAGTGGGTTCAGCTCAAAGGACGCATAGAAGACATTGAAAATGCGAAGGTTAGTAAGCTAAAAACCTATAATTTCCGTTGTTCTTCATGACCGTTCGTCGTTCCTCGTGCTCAAAATATCCCCGTAGTTTCAAATATGATTTGAATATAAACAGAAAAAAGCCGTTGGAAAGCTTATAACGTCCTGGAGAATTAATCTGTACAAAGAAACAATGCAATAGCGTCTAACTTCCGCTTCAATAGTGAGAAAAAACCCCTTCTGGTAGCTTCATCAATAACAACAAGTTTCGGAATTTATGTCTTCAATGCTAAAGCGATATTTTTTAGTCGAGTTTCCTCTTTCTCTGTTGCTGTTTAAACGCCGTAGAACATGCTTAGACCTAGCTCAACGAGCTTGTGTTAAAGTTGTGTATTTTCGAAAAATAGAGATGATTGCGAGGTTTTAAAGAGATTTTCATGGATTTTTTTAAAATAAGCTTATATTTTAAGATCTCACAACCGTGAGAATAAGTTTTTTTACGACTAAGGAGTGGTGTTTTACGTGGACTATGTCGAAGTGTTGATATATTTAGCTCTGAGATTCAAAATATTGTGAAAAATCTCAAGTTTATATCATCTCTTTTTACTATATTTTTCTTCTACAGAACTACATAAATTCACTCTGTAAGCCTGAGATAGAGGATGTCAAAGTCTCCATTCCAGAGGAGTACTTTGATGCAATTTCAGAGTACAGAAACCATGTAGAGAAAACCTCTGGAGCTGTTGTACTGTTTTCGTCACCAAAAGAGGCATGTATTCAGGGGAGTGAGATGTCAGTAGTTATTGCTACTTCTGCTATAGAAGAAAGAATTAATGAGCTCAGAGCTGGAGTAAATGGCCTTCCTCGTTTGATGAGCAGTGGTAGCATTTCTCCACAACAAAAACTTGAACAGGAAAAAGTTCAATCCACTCCAGTGCCTTATATTGATCCTTCATTGGAGGAATTTGCAATTAAGCTGGGGTATTCTAAGGAAGATATTCATCAAGTAGTTAAGAAACAGGGCAAGGAGGTTGATCAAAATACTTTATTAAGAGAACTTATTAAAGTATCATCACCTAGCTTATTACAGCGAGCTAAACCTGAGTATGCTGCACATCCAGGGCTTAGCAAACCTGTGTCACATAACAAAGATGAAGTGGTGGCACGTGGAACATCGAATAGGGCTGCTATACCACAATCAAGGAATGAAGAAATAGTGGCTCGTGGAGCAATGTGTCCACCTGGCCAGAGACCATTTCCAATGGAGTCTACTAGTTCACAGGGTGTATTCCTGCCCTTTGATAGACAGTATCTGAATGATAGACCAGAGGATGATACATTGATGTACCAACAAGTCATTGGCAATAGTTCAGCCACTGTTGACAGTAACTCAGATTTGAGGCACATTGTTATTGATGGAAGCAATGTTGCAATGAGGTAAGAAACAAAAAACAATACTACTCAAGATCTGGAAGATTCATTTAAGATTTTTTAGTTTTTTCTAGAAGAAGAAACTCAATAGGTTATGTAAGGGATACAAGCCATCACCTGATGCTTTAGTCATGTGGCAACTTATCATTCATCGAACTTCTTATTTTGCTGAGACAGGGTCATAGGTCTTATAAGATACTGTAGGTGTATTGTTTCAGGGCTATAGAATTTCAAAAAGCTCTTTTTCTAAAGCAAAAACTTCTTATAAAATGAATAACCAACAAAGAAGCATCCCTGAAATTTATATCTAGGTAATTCTAGAATCGTTTCTCTGAGTTTAAAGACGTTTTTATAACATTCAAAGCCCACAGATCTGTTTTGAAGAATTGGCTTTCATTTTGCTATGGAAGACAACTTGATCAAGGGTCATAGCTGTTTATTCATGCATTAGCCAATCAGAAGGCTTGTTCTATTTTGGGCTATATTTGACTTTGTATTGAACAATAGTAAATGATTGACAGTCACTTCCCTATGGACGGGAAGTGGTTCTAGAATTACGATTTCTTCTGTTCTCACACATCTTAAATTCAACACTTCCAAAAGGGTGGAATCTATAAAGAAGTACTTCAATAAATTCCCTTTTAGGAACATTTAAGAGAAAACAAAAAAAAAATCTCAAAAATCAATAAAATTCCAAAATTTTTGGCAGCTGTTGAAGCCTTGCATGACCAGTCAACAAACAGGAAGTTCAAATTTTTAATCTGTTTAATTTTTGCATACTTAATTCTGGCTCAAATTTTATTACACCTACCTGGGCTTTGTTAACTTTTATTCCATATGTATTCCTTTTGCCATAATAATAAAAAAGATTTTTTTTCTTTTTTTTTCAAATTGAATTAAGTTTTAGGTCCCTCATTATTTTTTCATTCCTTGGAAAAAACTGTTTCTTCTTATAAAGAGATTATATAAGCCAGATTTGATTTTTTTTTTTTTTAAATTTTTTTATAAAAAAAATATGGGCTGTAATTTATTTCTTCCCGAATAATATATTATGATCATGGTCTGTTTTCTTTCGCAGTTAAAAGTTTAAGTGCCGTGGACATAAACCATTTAAATAATTCCATTAATTAAAGTTATATATTAAGATGTTTTTTTCCCCTCTTAACAGTCATGGTAACCAGCAATACTTCTCTTGCATGGGAATCAAGATCTGTGTGGACTATTTTAAGAAAAGAGGACATAAAGAAATAACAGTATTTGTGCCTCAGTGGCGGAAAGAATATCCAAAACCTGATGCTCCGATAAAAAATCAGGAAATCCTTACTGAACTCGAAGCTGACCGACACCTTGTGTTTACCCCATCAAGAAGGGTTAATGGCCGGCGGATAGTTTGCTATGATGATAGATTCATCTTAAAACTTGCAAATGATACTGATGGTATTGTTGTATCAAATGATCACTTCAGAGACTTGTTCAATGAAAGCCCACAATGGCAAGAAGTCATTGAACAGAGGATCTTAATGTACTCTTTTGTCAATGACATTTTGATGGTACCCGATGACCCACTGGGTAGACATGGACCCAAGCTTGATGACTTCTTAAGAAAAGGTACTGCAACTCACAGAAGAGTTTGTCCTTATTTGAGAAGATGCACTTATGGACTACGATGTAAATACTATCACCCAGAGAGGGATCACTCTCGCAAGGGAGCAGAAGCCAGGACGTTTGCAAGACCAGAAGTCCCAAGACAAGACTATACAACGGAACAGTATCACCGCAGTATGAATGCAACTAGTAACTATCCTGCTCTGCCAGTAGCTCAACACAGTGGGAATAGAAGGTTCGTGGATGGACCAATTGACCGAGAAAGACATGTAAATTCAGCCAATATTGAAAGAAACGACTTTGATGGTGCAAGATCTGCTACTTTCCAACGTCTCTTGGCTGTGTTTCCAGAAGAAAGGCAGGAACTTATCCTACAAGTAATGAGGGACAACCCCCATGCTGACTTGAACTATTTAGCTGAACTCATTGTGACAAGAAGTAATTCTTAACTACATTCAATGGCCTTCAGAGCTTGAGGGTTCGATCCTCTAGGTCTCCCAAGTCTGTTTCGACTTCTCTAATCCGTGTAGCCTCAGCTTTGAATACTTTTAAGAAACAGAGCACTGATGGAGAGAGGGGGTAAAGTGCCCATCATCAGCTTCCATGGATAGCAGTTGAATATCAACTGAAGGAACTACTGACATTAAATATAGGTATTTTACTTTTTAATATAGAGTTTCCAAATTGGATTCCAAATCGTAGATTCTGTTGCTTGAATCTCACTTCAGAAGTTAGTGATGAGGTTTTACACAGGGCTTGTGGTGAAAGAGAAAGTCATCCTATATCCTTATTGGCCAGGTGCAAATGCCATTAATTAATCAGACGCAGGCAAGTAATTTAAGACAATGGTTGATAAGTGCCTAAAGATTTGAGCAACAGTTATCTACATGAGAGTTTTATAGAGGAACTGTTAGGTTCCTTGCTTCATAAGACTGTACAAACTTAACTGAATCTTCCAGTTAGCTTCGTTTTCTCTTTTGATCAACTCAAAGGTTGTTTCAGGGTTTGATAAAATGTGAAGAAGACTTTTAAGATTTTGCATTGAGAAAATGTACTGCCAGTCCAAATCAGTTTGAATCAGTATATATTTGATGACTCACAATGATTTTCCTAAGATGATGGTAAACCAATACATTGTCATCTACAGGAAAATCCATATTTACAAATGCCACAAATATATATGTAGATTGTTTACATTATTTTGAAAAAATCTAATGAAATATGTTCCACTGTGAAAATGACACAGGGAAAGATGAAAAAATATCTGGTTAAATACAAGACAAATTTAAATAGCATTTTATGTCATAATTTTATCTTTTGCTAGGGTAATGGTTGACATATGTACATGTACTGTATATACCATAATTGAAACTGTTTAGTTAACATTCAACTGACTCCTCTTAAAACTCCAGTGTAAGCAGAATTAGCCTCAAATCTAGGAGTTGCTTGTTTCATTATTCTAATTCCTGATTTTGTCTACCGACCTCAAGTGAGGCTGTACAACGTAATCACTAGAGTTTTAAGAGTCGTTAATCTTTTTTGAATGTGTGGTATTCGTTTTCTCCACACAAAACAAGTTTGTTAGAGTGGTTCTCATGTTTCTCTTGCCCTTGGCTTCTGTAACTCAAAAAAAATGTGAACTTGGCCGTTGTAAATGATGGATGGAAGCCAAAACAAAACACAAAAAAAACTGATGCCTTAAGTGTCAGGGCTGCTGAAACATGAAAAGGCCAATTCATACTAGATTAAGAATTAGAGTGTGAGTTTGATTGCACTCAAGATGTATACTTATTTTAAAAGTATTGTTACATGACGTTTCTCTCCGTGAGAGTAAAATTATATTAGACTTATTCTGCATTTGTATTAGCTATTGGGTTAAAAATGAGAATAAAAATTAAATTTTTAAGAACAATTATTTGTTAGTTTTTTGTCTCATTTTATTTATCCACTTTTTTTTAGAATCTTTGATATTTTTCTTGCTGATGTTAGGAAAGGGTATTCTGCAGTTTTCTCCAAAATAGATGACTGGGAGGAGTAAGGAGGGATAGAATGTGTGTGAAACTTAAGAAATGCATGCTGAAAAGTGCAATCTGAAAAGAGATGCTGATGGGGGAAAAAATTTGATTGAAACTTGGAATAAAGGCTATTATGCATCATCACGTAACCATGACACGAGGCAGGAACAATGGCATCTGATTTACATGAGAAAGAATTCAGTCTCGCAGTGGGAAAAGACTCTATTGTTGTGCCTGCTGTTATGGCTGCCATAACGTGATGGTACAAAAACTCTATAAGAGCAATAGAAAATACTGTATTTTATCTGTGAATGTGATCGATGAGGCTTCCTCTGGGTTCCCTGTGTTTTCCGTTTCCGCCGCTTGCGTGAGGAGTATTATTTAGAGCCGCTTGCGTGACGGCGCCTTGAGTGACAACCTTTAGAGCGGCTCTTGACGACACTAACAATCATGCTACAAAGATCTTTAGTTTCACATCTATCAGATATTTGTTTCATTTATTGTCCATCTCTGAAAAAAACTTCATAAAAATTGTTTTACATGTAGTGATAAATGTTCGTGACTGTCACGCTAGCTGCACTCGCAGCACGCTGCTCTTTCTAAAAGCGTACAGGCCTGAGGCAGCTCCACTAAGCAAATTACATAACATATTAGAACCTTGTTCTTAGTGTTTTTGAGAGTAAAAATTGCGATCTATAGCTCGATGGATTCCTACGCTACAAATAATGGTGGTGTTGGCAAAGACAGCAGTCTATATGACTTCGAGCCCGCCAAAAAACTCCGTGAGCTCGCTAAGATTAATGGCTTGGAAATGGCTTCCAAAGATTTTGCTTCTCTCATGGACGAACAAGATGAACTCCATGAGCTAAGGAAGGAGTTTTGTTATCCATTGAATAAGGAATCACCGCATGGTGAGTTTACAAGGTCTTTTAGTGTTTATTTGAGAAAGATTTAACCTAAATGAACTGCACTCACACCTTAGAAGTATTTGTTGGTACTCTCCCTTGATTCAAGGATTTACTCCAGTTTTCTCTTTTCTACAAAATCCAATGCCCCATGCGTGAGTATATAAAGCAATAATATTAATTTATTCGCACCTTTTGTATGTACTATGTTTAACAATACATAAAGAGTTACAATATTTGTCGGTCCTGTTTATAACATGGGAGAGAAGTAGCTTTCTTTTAGATATTCCTAGCAGTAGGATCTTCCTGCCTCGCGGGTGGGAAGATCCTAGCACCAGGGATAAAGTTTACACCTCTTTTGTCATGTATACTGAATGTATGGTTGAATTGATTCACCTGGTTCTTATTTCATCCTCCTATCATGTAGGCCTTGGCCATTGTGCCCTAACTTTGATAAGCCCAGAGGTTGTTTCAGGGTTTGAACAATACATTTTATATATGCACTCATAAATAAGCTCAATATACTAATAAGCCTTTTCATAGTTTAAGAATCGATTCCACCACTCATGCGATTTTATCCCGAATTTCTCACCTTTTGTTTAATTAAGAACAAAAGAAGGTTTAGACAAAAGAAGGTGAGGAATTTGGGATAAAGTCACATACGCAGTGGAATTGATTCTTAAACTATGAAAAGGCTTATTGAAAAAAATGAGTCAGGTTTGAGAAGGTCATATCATCGAAGCTAAGACCGAAAAGGATTTTGGGTACTCTGAAATGTGCATCATATTTGTATATAGACATGTAAAAATGCACAGTAGAGCAAAGTCGGTTGAACTAGATTAATAACATGCCAAAGTCATGATGCATAAAATGTGTACAGGAAGGGAAAACTGCAATACGCATGAAATTAGCATAATTGTTTGTCTTCCCTTGCTCCCCTTCGGTCTTAGCTTTGATATCGATGATATGACCTTTTTTTGAACCCGACAACATTTTTTCTATTGGGTGTATCTACTGAAGCCAATTCATGATTGTTTTCCAGTTGACCTATCCCTCGTAGATGGGAATGCAGAGTGTGTGTATTTCTGCGGCAATTCTCTTGGACTAATGCCAAAAGAATGCAGGAAGCTAGTCAAAGAACACTTGGATAAATGGGCTGCAATGTAAGTTTACCTAATTTAAGATTCAATAACTACAGACTATATGGGCTATGAAAATTTTGGCAAATGGACTGGGTGGAATTTTTCTGTGCATACTTGTAGTAGTTTATTTTCTTACACCAACTGCTATGGTAAGTTTGCAATGTCTTTTACATAGTTTTGACAACAAAATGTCTTTTTGGCTATTTTTAAGACCAATAAAAGTTTGCTGTTTGTAGTTGTAGTTGGGTATTATGACAGCAATGCATGCATTTACTACTATTGGTGACGCCCATCACTTCACACAAGGACGAAAGGACAAAAAATGTGGCTGCCATGAGCAAATATTTTGTCAAAGTCAATTATATGTGACATCACATGGACACCATGAATAAAGTTGTTACACAATTCTATTTCTTAGCTCCCATTTGTTTTGTTAATTTTATAATTGTTAATGTCCTAATTTCAGGGGGGTTTATGGTCATCATCTTGGAGACAGACCATGGAAGTCAATAGAAGAATATGCAACAGAAGAAACTGCTGAACTTGTTGGTGAGGAAACTAAGTATTGAATTTATCTCTCTTACTGTATCCATCAAATCATCCATCCTACCTATCCATCTATCCATCATCCATCCTATCCTATTAAATAGACATTCATCCATTATTCATCTATCTCATATTCATCCTAACCATCTCATTCATCCCATCCATCAATCATCCATCCTATCCTATTAAATAAATAAATATTCATCCATTATCCACCCATCTCATATCCATCCCATCCATCCATCCATCCATCCATCCGTCCGTCCGTCCGTCCGTCCGTCCATCCATCCATCAGATTATCCATGCATTTCTCATTATTGTATCCATGTGATTGATTGATCCTTTTATATACATCAGGTGCGAAGCCAATCGAAGTGGTTGTAATGAACGCATTAACCGTCAATGTCAATCTTATGATGGTGCCTTTCTACAGACCAACAAGCACTCGTCACAAAATACTGATGGAGGGCAAGGCTTTTCCTTCTGATCAGGTTATTCTACTTAAATTATACAAAATCTATATTTTTAGGGTGAAAAAATGTAGTTTAAAAGTCAAGTGCTTATAGTACCTTAAATTGTGATTTAATATTTATTGTACACTATTGTCCATAGTCCAACCCTCTGAGGTCTCTGTGTAGTTGCTGAGTACCTGCAAATAAGTACTCTAATCTAAATGAAGGTCTCTTTGTACAATTTTGCAATCAATGTTATTTCAATAATTTAAGGAAGATGAAAACAAATTAAATCCAAAAATGAAATATTTTATTAAATAATGGGGTCAAGGCTAAATAACATAAGAGAACAGGAAACTCAAGCAAAAACATGGTACAATGTGAGTAATCGTGTTCCTATGTAATGCCCAGTTCGTAATTCCCTAGTTTGTCCTATGTACTATAGAAATATACTTTGAAGGGATGCAACTTTCTGTTAAATGCTTTAAAATGATTTGATTTGATTTGATTTTTTTTTTTTTTTTTTTGGTGGCAGTATGCTATCAAGTCCCAAGTAAATTTTCATGGTTACAAGCCACAAGAAAGCATCATCGAAGTGTTTCCAAGAAAGGTTAGTGAAGTTGCAACAATACTAATATTCTGCTGAGTTTGAAGTCTCAGCCTATGCCATAAGCAGATGTCAGTTTTACATTCTCCTACAGTATCTCCCACATACATGTTTCTGTGCAGGAATAAAAATTCACAGGCACCTAACATACAGTATCCCCTCTCCCTAGTAACGTTTGTGTTGCTCAGGAACTTCATTTCATTTGTACATGTAGTAAACTTAAAGCTTTAGCCAGCAAGTAAAAGAAAATACTTATTTCAATCTTTTGGAGAATCGTCTTGATCATCAGGGTATAATGAAAAAGGCATTACAAGTTAGACTATATTTATATCTTAAATTCACAATTTGAAATAATTAACTAAAATCACATGCTAAATAACATCTACGGACGATAATAAAATACCATAGTCTTAGATTTGATTAGTGTAGTACTGATCGAATTGAAATATATAGCATTGAATTTTTTTGAAGGGAGAAAAACTAGAAAACCTGGAGAAAAATCCTCAAAACACGGGAGAGCACTAAAATAAGAGTCCGACTTTTTTGTTCTTGCACAAATGAGGTTTTCTCAACTTAATTATGAAAACCAGTTTTTAATGTTCGCTGGGGCATGTTGCTGCTGATCTTTGTCCCAACTCTAAGTTATTTTAATTTTGTTGAATTTCACTGTTTTCTAAGGGAGAAGAAACTCTAAAAACAGAAGACATCCTCAAAGTCATTGAAGAACAAGGAGACTCCATTGCATTAGTTATGTTCTCAGGTATTGTGTGGACTCAAGTATGGCATAGCAGTAATACACTTGCAAGGCTCTCACCCCTGGGGTCTTAATGGCTCAATTACCAGACACTGCTTTAGCCAGAGTTTGGTCTGTGAATTAGTTGTTTCAAGTTTTGATCTGTGAGTAAGCCGTGCCCTGACTTAGATCAGCCCAGAGGTTGTTTCAGGGTTTGATCTGTAAGTTAGCTGTGCCCTGACTTAGATCACCCCAGAGGTTGTTTCAGGGTTCTATCTGTGAGTTAGCCATGCCCTGACTTAGATCAGCCCAGAGGTTGTTTCAGGGTTCTATCTATGAGTTAGTTATGCCCTGACTTAGATCAGCCTAGAGGTTGTTTCAGCATATGATCAAAGGATCAAAGAAGCATGTAATATAAAATACAGTAGTTTTTTTTAACAGACCTCTTACTTACTAGCATTGCTTATCAATGACTATTTGATTTGCTTACCAGGAGTTCAGTATTACACGGGACAGTTCTTTGATATGAAAACAATCACATCAGCAGCACAGAAGAAGGTATCTATTGCACTTTTGACTTACAGACTGACCAACCAACTGACTTTTTTTAATCTAACAAACGACTAACTTCTGAATATTTATTGTCAGTATATATACATATGTATAGTTGTTTATTGTATATACAGTGTTTACGTTTCCTTATTATTCAATTACTGTCAATACACCAATGCAGGCCCAACTAGCAATAAACTAATGTAATGACTAGGTCATTATCATTCAACTGACTGACTGACTGAATTTTTAAATGAATTAATATATTAATGAATGAATGAATGAATGCATAACTAAATGAACAAGTGGGCGAATGAACAAGTGAACTAGTGAACGAATGAACAAGGGAACAAATGATCAAGTGCACGAATGAACAAGAGAACGAATGAACAAGTGGATGAATGAACAAGTGGACGAATGAAAAAGTGGATGAATGAACAAGTGGACGAATGAACAAGAGAACAAATAAACAAGTGGATGAATGAACAAGAGAACAAGTGAATGAATGAACAAGTGGACGAATGAACAAGTGGATGAATGAACAAGTGGATGAATGAACAAGTGGACGAATGAACAAGTGGACGAATGAACAAGTGGACGAATGAACAAGTGGATGAATGAACAAGTGCACGAATGAACAAGAGAACGAATGAACAAGCAGATGAACGAATGGACGAACGAACAAACATGGATGGACAGACGAACTGTTTGAAAAAGCTTTAAAAGTGGATTTCAATGTGTTTTTTATTTATTTACAGGGTTGTGTTGTAGGCTGGGACTTAGCACATGCTGTTGGGAATGTTGAGCTCCATCTTCACGACTGGAATGTAGACTTTGCATGCTGGTGTAATTACAAGGTGAAACTAAAAAGTCAACATGTTATTCATAGTTATGACAATAGCAAACAAATCACCTATGAAGCAGTTTATGCAATGAAATTAATATCTTGTCTCACAAACGACCACACAGTATCTGTTTTAAAAGCACTACAAAGAATGGAAACAATTTATAATCAATTTTTGAGAGTTTTGAATTCTGAGATATTCTAGCTAATTTGTTAAGCTTGTGGGACATAGCAACGGTAACTATGGGGAGTYGGAATCATGAATCATATAGTTTTATCAGTTAGTGTAGCTATAATTTTTTATATTATTCTGTCAACTTTATTCCAAGCTCTGACATGTACCAAATTAAGGTTGGTGAATGTGTTAATGATCATGTTGTTGTTGCTGCTAACAATGAGAATGACGATGATGTCAGGGTGATCATCATAATACAAAGGATGACAATGACACAAAACAATAATTGTGAAACATGTTGCTGACATAGATGATGATGATGACAATGGCCATGATGATGATTGTGATGGGAAGAACTTGGATAATACTGTATTTTTTTCATTTCCATTATCCGTTAATTCTGATAATGGAAATGACCGTGGTATTGATGATCACAACCAATCATCTTCATTCATCAACACCACCATGTAAATGTTACTTACAAGTTTATCTACATTTATTCTCTACTAAAAAGTACCTCAACTCAGGCCCTGGTGCTATTTCTGGTGTTTTTGTACATGAAAGACATGCTTACAACTTTGATCTTCCAAGGTATGTGTTTTAAGAGTAATAGTATTAATACCTCTAAAGTGTGCTTTGGTTGGTTAGTATGCTGCCTGCTAAGCAAGAGGTCCATAGTTTGATGCTCTGTAACCTCAGACACTTGTTTTAAGGAGCAAGTGTGGCTTGGTTGTTTAGTGTGCTG